TCGTCTCAATTCTCGCTCGAAATCGGCGTCAAAGACCGAGATAGGTTCACGAATCGGATGAGAACTCCGAGTCATAAACTAGTACCTAAAACAAGAAACAAAACAAGATTAAGAATCTAGAATAAAATAAAAACAAAAGAAAATACAACAATCCAAGAGATTAGCAAAGTTGCTAATCCCCGGCAACGGCGCCAAAATTTGATGCGAGATTTATACGCACACAAATTAAACCCTCTTTTTGTCAATTGTAGTATAAGTATAAGTAGGGATCGTTCTAAACCGGGGATTAGGAGGGATTACTAAATCACTTGGAAACTGACTCAAAAATGTAAAACAAACATTAAAACACTAAAACAAATCAAAAGACTCAAAGAATACAAAACACTTATAAACACAAACTAAGACACTTTCTAACTAAATTGGACACTAAAGTAAAGGGGGATTGAGATTTTGACGAAAATAAATTAAATGCACAAATTGTAATTTAAAGGTAGAATTTAAATATGAATGTGATGAAATATGGAATGAATGCTAGCTAAGGGGTTCTTCTCCACACATGTTATACTTGCATACAAGATTGATTCTCAGTTGGTCTTTCGATAAATTATGAAACTCAACACTCCGGATTAATTAGGTCAGCTTAAATTAACCGTCAAGTTTTCCTTAAGTTAATGAATTGGATGGGTTTGCGCAACGCAATTCACAACATTCTCCAAAAGTCCTTTACGTGAACAGCACAATAAAGATACAATCAAAGATCATTAAGTATTATGAAAACTATAAGTGTTGACGAGGCATTCGTTACTATGATGAGCATGAAACTCGTGCCAAGAATTCATTTAACGCGATTGTTTATAAGCAACCTCCACTACTTGTGAATATAAGTTCATAACGATTAGGTGAAAATCACTTATATTCTAGCGTCATATTTATGCATGAAAATTAAGCGCGCATTCTTAATAAACATTCATAAATAAGTTATCAATCAAACGGTTAAACAAATTGAATCCACAACTTATGAAATTCCAACGAAAGTTAATCAATTCATATTGCAAATATAAACATAGTTTCGAATCACCCCCTAGCTAAAGGGGGATTAGTTCCTCATACCTTTGAAATCAAAGAAACACCTAAACATTCCAACAACTCAAAACTTGAATTGTATGAACGTTTAAGCACTCTTCTGTTCCATAAAACAAAGAGAATTAAAATGAAACTTTGAAATCAAAGAAACACCTAAACATTCCAACAACTCAAACTTGAATTGTATGAACGTTTAGGCACTCTTCTCTTCCTCGTTGTTGTAGCACAAGGTTTAAGGATAGGTTGGTTGGGGGGATGGAAGTGTGGAATGGAGTGGAAATGGAGAAGATGGAGAAGGGGAAGTGTTTGTGTATTACAATGGAAAATGAGATGATTTGGTGAATGGAATGAATGAGTATTTATAGGAAGAGAATGGGTGTTAATGGATGTTTGTTTAAGGTATTTGGTGGATGGGAAAAGGTGTGGATGGTGGGAATTATGGTGGATGGATGGTTTAGTGGATTTAATTTAGGGTTTATTTAGGTGAATGTGGATGCATGGTTTAGTGGATGTAAAGGATAATGGGATGGTGTGGAATTAAAAGCTAAAAAAAATGGGATAATGGGCATTTAAGTGTGAATGGAATGGTGGGATGCACTAATGGAAATTATGAAATGGAATGGTGGGATGCACTAATGGAAATTATGGAATGGAATGGTGGGATGCACTAATTAGGAGGAAGAATTAGGGTGAAGGGCTTAATGCATGGATTTGGGCCAATTAGGGTGAAGGGCTTAATGCATGGATTTGGGCCTAAAATGCCTCCCCTTGCATGGCAAGGGAAAGGACTTGGGCTAAAGCCCATGGCATTGGCTCTAAAATGGGCTAAGGTTAGGGTTTAGGTCATCTAAAAGCCCAAAGCCAAGAATAGAAACTCACGACAATGGAAACCTCCAAGAATAGAAACTTCCAACTTTAGAAACTTTGGTTACCAATTCCGACTTCCTTGCTCTTCACTTTCATTTCTTCATTTCTTAAGCTCCTTTGACCTTCAACCTCGTTCATTCCTCGTGCTCCATTTGCATACACCACATTCCAGCTCAGTTTTGCTCCAAAAGCTCCCAATTGCATCATTTCATGTAATATGTCCTTTAAACCTGAAAACACATGAAAGTAGCTTAAAAGACTACTTTAACGAATAAAACATAACAAAAATGCATAAGAACTAGCTAACTAAGGCGCATAAATATGCTCCTATCATTACCCGATAACGACCCGATTCATTATCGTGTTGACCCAAACACCTGTTAATTTCATGTCGTGTAGTGTCGGGTTATCGGGTCATGTCAGGAATTGTCAGGCTTGGCTGCGACAACGAAAACAATGGTCGAATTCAAGGTTGCCACAAAAAAATATGGTGAATCTCGGCTTTGCAGGTCACAAAGCGCCAAAAATGGCGTCGTTCGAACCTGAGTGGTTCTGTATGTCTGGTATTGGGACAGAGCCAGCTCGGCTTAGCTCTGTAGCTTAGCGCGAGCGTAGCTGCAAGCCACTGCTTTAGCACAAATTTCATTTTTTTTCTTCGATTTCTAAGTTTTCAAAACCCAAAATAATAAAATAATCATACTTCTATTTTATTTCGATTCTTTGACTCACAAATTCCACATAATGATTTTATAATTGCGTAATGTGTGAATGTGTGTGTGTGTGTGTGTGTGTGTGTGTGTGTGTTGGAAGGAAAATATAAATATAGGGGGTTCATGCATCATGGGGGATGTTTTCATGCTTTATGGTCGTTTCAAATATCTTAATTTATTTTAAAAGAACCTCATTGGCAGAAAATAATTGAGACTTTGAACTTGGAGAAGATCCTTCTCAAAAAGACGGAATTGCATCTTCAATGCGTTGTATCACGTTCAACAAAGAAAAATTAAATTGAATCAATCAAATTAATTCAATAAAATAATAAAATAATTATAAAAAGAATGATTGAAACATAATACTCTCCTGATTGAAGATCAAACTCTCTTTAGGGCAGCGTTAAGAACGTGCTGATAACGTGTTGTAGGCATAATTTACTAGACGATTATGGAGGCCATAGAGAGAGAGAGGGTGCGGCACATAGAGAGAGAAGAGAGATGTATAATTGTGAGGTATGTTCTATTTCACCCCATTGTGCCTTTATTTATAGTAGTAGGGAAGGTTAAATCCTTACTCTTTTAGGATTACAAGTCTAATAGGATATTAACTACTAAACGGAATATTCAAAGATATCCCAGACACACTAAGATTTACACAACCACATTCCTAATCTAATAGGATTGCAACAATACTTTATTTTTATGAACATTTTAACATAAAAATATTTAGATTCCTAGAAAAGTTGAAAATCACTAAACTGACCCATCAAATATGAATTTATAGTGTTATTTTGGTGAATTTAAAACTGTTCTTTTTTTCTTTTTCTTTTTTGTTTCTTTTTTTTTTGTTTTTTTTTGTTTTTAAAGCTTCTTTTACACCCTGCCTCGTTGGAGAAGAATTGAGTTAGATTAAAACCTAAATTTTGACGAGCTAGCCTTTTAACCTTGGCCTATATTCCAATTTAAATTTGCTCAAATTTGATATTTTAACTCAAAAGTTATGACCTACTCCTTCTCTTTTTCCCTCGTCATTTTGTTTTTGGTCTCTTTTTCCTCTCCCAAGCTCTCTAAGGTTCTCATTGCTTTTGTAACTTTGTTGGACTTTAAAGTACTATTGATGATTTATATATATATATATATATGTGTGTGTGTGTGTGTGTGTGTGTGTGTGTGTGTGTAAAACTAATGAAAGGCCCCTAAAATTTGTGTATTTTTTATTATTTATATATCTGTGTGTGTGTGTGGAAAACTAATGAAAGGCCCCTAAAAACTTTGTGTTTAATCTTTATGACAAAAGTTTTCAAAATACCTGTTCTACCCTTTAAAACATTCAAATAGAAAAAGGCATAAGGAAAAACAATCAGACAAAAGTGGTCCAGCATTAAGCAAAGTTCACATGGCCTTCATTAAAGCAAATACAAAAGAAGACAAAGAAAATACAGCAAAAAGAATGAAAGGACAAGTCAATGACACTTTCAAAAATAATACTGACATTTTCAACAGATTTAGAAACAGTGAAAGCAAAAGTGACAAACCATCAAGAAAAAGTTGACGAGTACCCAGTGAGATGTCCACACCATTCATTTGTAATTATTTTTTATACAATAGCACTCCCATTCATGTCTATAAAGGGGAGTTTCCCTTCATTGTAAACACACCTCAACACCTACACAACACACCTCAACTTGCAAACTTTGTAAACTTTTCTTGTAAACACTTCCCTTGTAATTATCTTCTATACATCAATAAAAGTTCAAGTGTATATATTCAAGCAATCTCCAAGTCTTAAGTAAGTTTTTCTTTCTTTCTTTTAGTGTGTTCTTTTAATTAGATTTTCAGTCCAAAACATAGAAGCACTATTGTGGTTATATTATTAACTTGCTAAACTGACAATCATACTTTGCTCAAACACTCTGTTATAGTTGAACGTTTGCTATACAAATAACTAGATATTAACCAATGTACCTTTGTGTTCAGCCTTATACTTGCATTGTGAGTGGCTGTCATGATGAAACATGTCGAGTTCCATATGCAAGGTTTTATGTCTACTTGTTATAATGGTCATCCAACTATTTAACGGGGCATTTTCTTTTCGAATTTGGTATCACATGGACTGTGATGCTCTGCTTAGGATCTCATTTTGCATATTTGGTGGCATTATTCTTAATTTTGCTTTTGAAACCCAACATGTATTGGAAAACAGGGACTAGAATTAACAGTTGAAGCATTCAGAAGAGTAAATAGCCAACATCTAAGGGCTTGTTTGGAAGTGAAAGCACTTTTGGTGAAAGTGTTTTTGGGTTCCAAAAGCACTTGAAGTGCTTCCTGCAAGAAGTACAGGATTCACTTGCACTTTTACTAAGGATTGATTTCAAAAGCACTTTCATCAAAAGTGTTTTCAGTAATTTTAAAAACACTTCCAACCCTAACAAATACTGGCAGATGAACCGAGAATTTCACTTGAAAGGAAACCTTAGTCAGCTGATGTGTTCAAAAGTATGCAAATTCATATGAAAGAATCATTGTTCCTCACCTCTTGGAGGACAGAAGGGTCATAATAAAACCTAGATGACAGCTTAATTAGCCTATCCATGCCCTTGTTCTCAACAATAGCATTCTTATTTGCGCCACTTCCTGCCAACTAAAACACAATAATGCACGAGCAAAAGACAACTAATGCAGCACTAAAATGTTTCACCAGAAAGTAGCACCAGTAATTTTCTATGTAGCACAAGTAAATGACAACTAATGTATTTACTCACAAGAATTGTGGTCCAAGAGTTCTATATAAGACATAATAAAAGTCAAAATTTAAAACCTTTAATTTTGGATTAAAGCTTGATAGAAAACAAATTCACATCAAAATTGATAGATGTGATTTATGTTGGAAATGTGCCCTAAAACCAATCATATGATGATACTTTACGGACATTTCAAACTAATGTAGTTTAAATGTAAAGGGCAAAGATTATTGTTTGAGCCGTCTCATATAAATGTTATATGCTTAAACGATAAGTCCAAGGAATATGTGATTGGAAGAATGCGATCTAAAGAAGTTAGATTCATGAGACCATTCTTTCGTTGACACATCCTAAACGTTCCTGATCATAGGATTGTCAATTGGGCATTAACAGTCCGTTAAGATCAGTACGTGCTATGTCTTCTCTCAGGGAGAGTGACTAGTCTCGAGTCATTGGTGTGTGTGACATCAAGACAAGTACGTAGGTGCTCAATAGAGAATGAGTTCACTGAACACGATCAACGAAGAGTTCTCATATTCATGTCACATGAGAACTCATGGTTGGGATAATGCAAATTAGTCTTTTGACCTGAGGCATCACAGTTGTCTTGTGGTTAGGTCCTTAATCTTTGATTATGTCAAAGTCACTCCATCAGGAGGGTGTCCATGGTATTGTTGGGGTTAAGCCACTTAGCCATGGAGGCAAGTGAATGCGCAACAAGGGATCTCTAACCTTCAAACTGTTTGAGGGAGAATACTCTATGATATGATTAAGAATCTTTGGCCAAAGTATGAATGAGATTTAGGAATGTGTTCCAAATCACATTCAAGGTAATCATATAAGCACAAGACTCACATTGGATAGTAGACATGAATAAACTATCAAACCAAACAATGTGGTCAAGAGTATTGTATTAGAGAAAGACCGTATTGCATTTGTAATCCTAAAACTGAATAGGTTCTCCACCTCTTCTAATTAGCTTGGGTAACCATGACATGCTGCTAGGCGTCAACCATGGTTTGTGGAAGCCCTAAAAATGTATTATCACTAACGGGAGAATTGAAAGTAAGTTTCAATTCACAATCGATTTGAAAGAGTTTGAATCACCCACTGCCTCGCTAAAAGGAACCTAATGGATCGTACACCGTGTAAGGTAGAGATTGAAGATTCAACGGAGATGAGTAAGAATAATTAAATGGTTTAATTATTTATGGCTAGGATTAATTAATATGATTATTAATCAAACGAATAAGTTCGTCGAAGACCTCGGGATAGTTTTGGACCTTAAGGCCCAATGGGCTTCGAACGTCAAGTCCATTGACTTAAGTTGTATGACAACTTAATGAATAATGATTCACAAAGGCCCAAATAGCCCAATGAATACCCTAAGGCCGACCATTTAGAGAAAGAGTGGGTTTTGACTTATTTACAAGTTTGCCACTCAAATGAATTAAGGTATAAGTGTGACTTAATAGCCAAAATTCATTAACGGGTTGTTTTTGGGGAAATTGGAGAAACACAAACTCTCCTTTCTCTCTAGAAATGGCCGGCCACCTTGGAGGGATCATCTAGCAATCAAACTCCTCCAAGGTCACTCATTTCTTCTCCAATCTTACCTTGGTGTGGAGACTTAGAGGTTCTCAATTTTGGGAACTTGGAGAAACCTTTTCATCCATCCAAATCCATGGATCTAAGATGCAAGGAATGAAGGCCCTCTCTTTGGGTGATTAGCCTTTGCTTATGCAAAGAGGAATCTACAAAGGTATTGATTTCTCAACTCACTTTGTTTTGAGTTGAGTCTTGGTTCACCTATCTACTAGGCTTTGAAGTTCATGGGTTAAGTTTTGTTTTTGAGTGCATAAAAACATGATTCCGCCTTTTAATTGTTAATTGCATGTTGTTGATGTTGCTCAAATGAACTTGTTTTTACAAATCTTCCTTCAAGTGGTATCAAGAGCCTAAGTCTAGTAGTTGGTGAATCCTTTTGGGTTTTGTAGTTCATAGTTTGTGATTTGAATGTTGTAATTGTTACAAGCTTTATTCTTGCTTCTTTGAATGTAAATTTTGTTAGAAAATTTGCCATCTCAAATGTTGTAGATGTAGTTCATATGAGCATGAATTTTGGAGCTAAAATTTGGTGCCATGTTTTTGGGGAAATTCGGCCAAATCCAAAGGGTGGATTTTTGGGTTCTTGTTTGACTTGTTAAAAGTGTTTTAAAGTGACTTTTGGAACCCCTATGTACCCTAGTATGGTTGTATGTTATTTCCCTTAAGTTTGAGTGGTTTTGGTATGTTTTTGGGTGAAGAATGTTCATGGAGCTCTTATGGGTTTTCATGGATGTTCTTCATTGTTCTTGATATGTTCTTGCCAAGAACAAAAGGTTTGGTGTTTTGATTCAAAGTTTTGATTTATTTCATAAAGTTTTTGTTTTGAAATATTTCTTATGTTTAAATATCTTAGATATTTGTTTTGAAAAATTAAAGAAATTTTAGTGGGTAGGTGAGTAATGATTTATTCCATTACACACACCCCACTTACAAAAACTTTGAAATTTTTTTTTTTATTACTTTGCTTCAAAACCGGCCACCCTACTCAATTAGGGTCCTTGTGGGGCTTTTATGCAATTACATAAAGTTTTGATACTTTTGTGTATTTGTACTTTGACCCAAAAGTTTACGTTTTTACGTAAAGGTCCAAAATCACTAAAAGGACAAATTGTTTTGCTCCTTTAATGAAGTTTTAGCTTTTGTGGAAATTTTTGGGTTCTAGTTGTAATTACATGAAGTAGTGGACTCTTGTGTTTTTACAAAGTGACCCCAAAAGTTTAAGTTTTTGCAAAATAGCCCAAAAGTTGAGGTTAATTGCACTATGGCCCAAACAAGTTGAGGTTATAGCATTTTGGCCCAAATTAGGTAGAGAACAAAATTGTTTTGTCTCTTTAAATGAGAATTGGATTTTCATTTCATTTAGCTCTATTTAAATCAATTCTATGGATACAAAAACCAAATGAAAATGTTGCATTCAAGTTTAATTAGTTAAAGCGTTAATTAATTAAAGAAAGGGTGATTATGAACCTAAGCCTACTATAATTGAGCTATGTGAAAGGCCGTTTCAAATTTGTTTGAACCATGGGAATGTGTAGATTAAATTTTGGTTGTAATTTGATATGATCAATTGTTGTAAAAGAGCATAAGCTCTTCTTTACTTTAAAGTAATTTGATTTGATCAATTGTTGTAAAAGAGCATAAGCTCTTATTTACTTTGAAGTACTCATTTCTTGTTTTATTCGATATGCATGAAATTGGAGTAGTTGGGTCCAACGCCCAATAAGACAACACGCCTTAATGTGATTAAACGCGTAACTAAAATCAATCTCCATCCCTAGACCGAGATTCAACACTAGGCTCGTGTTGAATCGAATCAAAGGTTCATAGTCATCCTAAGGCCCTAAGGCAACTATATAGTCCATCAATGAATGCAAATCTTATGTTAGTAGTACCATATAGTCTTGCTTTAAAAACCGTTTTAAAAGCATAGTGGGAGTATTATATACTACTAAATCAATCATATGGACCAATAGTTGTAATAGGACCAAAATTTTTTAATTGGATTAAAATGTATGTTTATATGTGATGAGACCTAAAACCCTCAACCAAACCATTATTAAGTTGATAAGCGAGAGATGCTTTGAATATCTCTTCGTGGCCTTCCACCGTGGTAGGCTCCAATTGTTTGTGACTTGTACACCGGCTTCACCCTATCATGGGGGAGTACAAAGTGCATGCTTACACTCAGGAGGAGTCTATACGCATATGATGAGGTGAGTGTAGGCAACGAGGATGGCCAATATCATATCATTGTGAGGCTATTCTTGAACCCCTTCATGAACTAAGCATGGTGGGAATAACTTAACTAAGTGCAATGGCGCCGATATCATATCATTGTGAGGCAACATTCTCTAGAGGCCAAATAAGATAGGTACTTGCAAGAGATGCAAATGAGTAAGCGTACTCTCTCATTATTATTAATGCTAGCTGATATCGTATCATCGTGAGGTGGGCTTGGTAATAGTGAGCCTCCCATACCCTACTAAGAGTTTCCTCCAAAACTCTCGAATTCCGATGAGGGATATGGAATTTGCCAAAAATAGTGGGTGGTGCTATTTGATTTAAAGACCCGAATCAAATGGCTTAAAATCAATCAATTTATATTCGTTATGTATTTGTTTACCAATATATTTGCAAACGCTATCCAAAACTTGACAAAGAAAAACCGAACGCTTTAGTTTCCGAACTTGGTACCACAATCCCATAGATTGTCTTGAATGGCTTGTAGATGTAACTAAGTAGTCTCATCCTCACAATCTTCCTATTGATAATGTATCATTGGAAGAATATGTTAGATAAGTCTAAACATGAGAAGGACAACACTTTTAATGTCATAATTCTTCAAATACAAATTGTTGTATGAAGAAATAAGAGTTGCTTTGAACAACCCTTAATCAACACAAACTTTAGTGCTTGTTTCTTTGTTACATAAACAAGGAACTTTTGAAGTAAGCACAAGGGCATGGACACTTTATGTGCCATGATTCTTCACTTACAAATTGTTGTATGAAGAAATGAGAGTTGCCTTGAACAACTCTTGAAAGTTTGTTATTATGTTTAGAACAAAATGGTTGGTTGACAAAAATAGTCCATTTATATGGACTTATGATGATTTTGAAGTGTTAAACCACTTAACGAGACGGAAACTAGGCAAGGACTTCACCTTTGTGTCCCTATCCTAATGGTTCACTAAGTTTATTGTAAACTATATAGTGAACAATAACCGCACGCTCTCCAAATCGTTTGATGTGTATAACACATTTGAAATAAGTTTCAAGAGAGATAGTGGGAGTCTAGGGACCATGACTATTGTAATCAAAAGGGAAGTCAAATGAAGAAGGCAAAATAACTCCAAGGGAACAAACTTTCTTTATGAAAGGATGGACATTGGAAGGGGTATTTGCAAGAAATGTCTTGCAAGTGTCAAGAACACACCTTTCGAAGGTGTTGTAAAATGTTCTTGAATAATTCAAAACAGTTGGTTCTTCTACTTGAATACATGATTCTGTATTAGCAACTATGTTTTACAATCGTTGTAAAAGTGTGGCTAATAAGAAGTAGAAGATAAATGAGAGAAGAGAAAGTACTTCACATTCGAAACGTGAATCAAATATAGATCTCTGCGAAAGCGGATTGTACTTACTTCCTCATATGAACTACCAAAGAAATTGGAAAAACCAAAGATTGTCTTTACGTCCCAATTTTAAAGGAACATAATTCCGTCACAGTTGTAGAGATGGATGAATGTTTTGTTTGACAAAACATTGTTCTTTATTAATGAATGATTAGATTATGGTAATCTAATTAATTGTCTTTGTAGTAGAGATGATGTGGTAGTGTTAACTGTTTAAGAATATAACGATGCTTAAAACCCAAAAGGTTGCAAGGTAGTGACTAATCCCAACTGAGTTGTGATACCTCTAAAACATAAGTTACGAGTTGGTCATAGATGGATGCTTTGGATCGTTAGATCCGGATCCAATACCTTCTTGTTAAAATTGTATAGAGGCGAAATGTTCGAATCTTTATTCTTTTGGAAAGAAGAAAGAATCACAAAGTTGTTGAGGTTAATTCACTTAGATGTTAGTGGCACTTGTCCACAACATAATACTACTCATGTTGTATGACATTCACCGAAGATCACTCTCGGTTGGACTATAGTTTATTTTGAATAAACACAAGTCCGAATACTTTGCAAAAGGTTTCAAAGAATTCAAGAAATGTAAGTAGATGAGTAAGACGTCTAAAGTATTTACCTCCTTAGATTTGATCCAAGGAAAAAGTAACACTTTAGATTAATTTCCTTGAAAAATATCAAGGAAAGTAGCATCGTAAGATAATGAATTTCTCCATTAGGAGAAGAATGAACATAAATAAGATTTAGTTCGTTGGACATTATCAATTACCCATATATATATGATATATACTTCTAAGACATGTTAGTTGTAGAGATCCATCCATCATGGATCTTAGCAAGCTAGTGGGAGCTATAAGCGTCTTATGAGAAAAGATCAATTGTTTGATTTCTCATAAAGATGTAAATGAATCTTTTGTTTACTAGGTTTACAAAAGATTAGTGGGAGTTAATCGTATTCCTAAATTTAAATATATATATATATGATATATATATTAATTTTTGAAAATGAAAGGAATTCTTCATCGTTAAAGTTATGACTTTAAACATTCTATAATGATAGAATGTATATGGGAGACATATTCTATATACATGGGATGGAAATCTATAATGATAAATTTCAAGATATAATTGGATTATATCAATCCCTAAAATAGACAAGAGATGCTAGGAAGTTTCTCATATGATGATAAACTTCAATTAGAATGACAATTCTAGTGAGACTAGGAAGTTGTTCTTCTCAAAGGGAATGTACCCTTTGACTCCCAAAGAAATAATGCGTAAATAGAATCCTTTATGCATACGCAGAAAGGTGATTTATGTATTACATATTGTATGAAAACATTGATATAAGTTGTACCTAGAACGGTACAAGATGATATCAGTGCAAACCCAGGATCAAAACCATGGCAACTGTCAAGTGAATCCTTAGGTATTTAAGAAATACTAAGGATGGATTCCTCAAGAATGAGGAAGAATTAGAGTAACGTAATGGAAGCGTAAATGTATTAGATTATGAATCTAATCCATCATAGAATATCTCTTCATTATGAATGAAGTGATAATGAGATATCTCTTTATTATGACTAAAGAGATATTTGGGTGGAAACGTTAAAAGTAAATGACTTTAATGTGTTCCATCATGTATGCAAAATATATTGCCATATAGAAGCTTACAACATTGTTGTTTGGATGGGAAAGTTCATTCATGAACTCTCCATTCGGTTCCAACCAGAAAGTGTATGACACTAATGGGGCGATAGCTCAAGCCAGGGAATCAATGTCTCATCAAGGTCCGAACTCAAATGAGAGACTGAACCACATGATTGAGAATCATGTATAATGGTGACGTCGTTATTCTCAAGGTTGCTTCTATGGATAACATATAGATATCCATTGTTTAGGCCTACTACTCAGCCATTTATGAAATGAATTACAGAAGAGGTATCATCAATGATGACTAAGCTTATTGGCTCTAGTGCAAGTGGGAGATTGTTGGAAATGTGCCCTAAAACCAATCATATGATGATACTTTACGGACATTTCAAACTAATGTAGTTTAAATGTAAAGGGCAAAGATTATTGTTTGAGCCGTCTCATATAAATGTTATATGCTTAAACGATAAGTCCAAGGAATATGTGATTGGAAGAATGCGATCTAAAGAAGTTAGATTCATGAGACCATTCTTTCGTTGACACATCCTAAACGTTCCTGATCATAGGATTGTCAATTGGGCATTGACAGTCCGTTAAGATCAGTACGTGCTATGTCTTCTCTCAGGGAGAGTGACTAGTCTCGAGTCATTAGTGTGTGTGACATCAAGACAAGTACGTAGGTGCTCAATAGAGAATGAGTTCACTGAACACGATCAACGAAGAGTTCTCATATTCATGTCACATGAGAACTCATGGTTGGGATAATGCAAATTAGTCTTTTGACATGAGGCATCACAGTTGTCTTGTGGTTAGGTCCTTAATCTTTGATTATGTCAAAGTCACTCCATCAGGAGGGTGTCCATGGCATTGTTGGGGTTAAGCCACTTAGCCATGGAGGCAAGTGAATGCGCAACAAGGGATCTCTAACCTTCAAACTGTTTGAGGGAGAATACTCTATGATATGATTAAGAATCTTTGGCCAAAGTATGAATGAGATTTAGGAATGTGTTCCAAATCACATTCAAGGTAATCATATAAGCACAAGACTCACATTGGATAGTAGACATGAATAAACTATCAAACCAAACAATGTGGTCAAGAGTATTGTATTAGAGAAAGACCGTATTGCATTTGTAATCCTAAAACTGAATAGGTTCTCCACCTCTTCTGATTAGCTTGGGTAACCATGACATGCTGCTAGGCGTCAACCATGGTTTGTGGAAGCCCTAAAAGTGTATTATCACTAACGGGAGAATTGAAAGTAAGTTTCAATTCACAATCAATTTGAAAGAGTTTGAATCGCCCACTGCCTCGCTAAAAGGAACCTAATGGATCGTACACCGTGTAAGGTAGAGATTGAAGATTCAACGGAGATGAGTAAGAATAATTACATGGTTTAATTATTTATGGCAAGGATTAATTAATATGATTATTAATCAAACGAATAAGTTCGTTGAAGACCTCGGGATAGTTTTGGACCTTAAGGCCCAATGGGCTTCGAACGTCAAGTCCATTGACTTAAGTTGTATGACAACTTAATGAATAATGATTCACAAAGGCCCAAATAGCCCAATGAATACCCTAAGGCCGGCCATTTAGAGAAAGAGTGGGTTTTGACTTATTTACAAGTTTGCCACTCAAATGAATTAAGGTATAAGTGTGACTTAATAGCCAAAATTCATTAACGGGTTGTTTTTGGGGAAATTGGAGAAACACAAACTCTCATTTCTCTCTAGAAATGGTTGGCCACCTTGGAGGGATCATCTAGCAATCAAACTCCTCCAAGGTCACTCATTTCTTCTCCAATCTTACCTTGGTGTGGAGACTTAGAGGTTCTCAATTTTGGGAACTTGGAGAAACCTTTTCATCCATCCAAATCCATGGATCTAAGATGCAAGGAATGAAGGCCCTCTCTTTGGGTGATTAGCCTTTGCTTATGCAAAGAGGAATCTACAAAGGTATTGATTTCTCAACTCACTTTGTTTTGAGTTGAGTCTTGGTTCACCTATCTACTAGGCTTTGAAGTTCATGGGTTAAGTTTTGTTTTTGAGTGCATAAAAACATGATTCCGCCTTTTAATTGTTAATTGCATGTTGTTGATGTTGCTCAAATGAACTTGTTTTTACAAATCTTCCTTCAATTTAGACCTTGCAGAGCAAAGAACAGCAAACTTTAGCAACAGTTTTGTTGCCTTGTTCACTACTGTTATCAATACATAGGAGAACTGCATCAATTCCACCATTTTCAGCAACGGATGTACGTATTTCATCATGTAGAAAATCGAAGACCAATAAATAACAGAATTAGAATAAGAATATATTCAGCGTACAATATACAGATTACTTGTTAGTAAATTTCCATATCTTTGAGACACATTTGCGTCAGTCACAAGTCATAACGATAAATGAACAAAAAGGACTTTTCACATATAGTGAGAGAATAATGAATTGTTTAATTGTCTTTAACTAACTTACAGGTCCACTGACTGAACATTAAACTATGAAGGCCAAACAGGTTATTATTAAAACATCAACTCTTAATTTGTATCCCATCAGATTACAAAATTCTTACATTGACAGCGACAGCCTTTAAAGCAATGCTTGCTGAAACAAGACTAGATGAGCTAAGTCCCACTCGTATTGATTCAACCAGAGCTCTAACGATTTCAATCTTGGCAAATTTTTGCGCATAACCATAAACCTGAAATTTGCAGTTACAGAATTATTCTTCAAGGAATCTAATTTAAACACTTGAATGAAAATGTTCCCATAACTAAAGAAGCTGCTGGATATCCGATCATGAATTATGACTCAACTCATTAACTTGCAAAGCCAAAACCCAATTATCATCATGTGTTAAGAGAACCTGTATAGCATCGTACAAACTCTCAGTGCTGACTTCCCTTTTTACACTCAATACTCGCAGAATAAGCTCATCAATCTTCATCAACTCCATGAATAGCTCTTTTATGACCTCATTACTCGTTGCAGCCACAACAACAATAGCAAAACCATTACTTAAAATGTCAATATCTCAAATCCATCAGTTAAGATACCCACCAAAATGCTTGGTCCACCACTTGTCCTAAATGCTTCTCTACTCTGCAAATCTACAACAAAACGCCAGAAAACTACTCACAACTAATCCGTAAGACTTAGAAAGACTTCACGAGAAACCAAATAAGCAAGATAGATTGTCCATTGTACCATGTTGCAAGGAAGCCAATGCCCTCAAAGCCAAAACAAAAGCTTGTTCGCACTCGACTTGAATCTTAAGACCAATCGAACAAACGATTTCAACCTCCATTTCTAGAAGCTATTGCTGCATTCCCAGAACCTTTGGAATTACACAGCTCAGTAAATTTAACGAGTAAATCCACAAGTTCATCTTCTACTTGACGGTTTTGACTGCAATTCAACTGACTCAATCTATCCAAACATTGTAACACAGGATTGTCCTTCACATTACCATCTTCGAGGGCTTCGGTGAGCTCCATGCCGAGATCGTCCATGTTCTCCTTCACCACCTCGTCGAAGGCTTCCTGCGAGATCGTACGAGCGGCTTTCTTGGGTGGGCCTATCTCTACAATTTTCGGCACCGTCCCATCGTACTGGATTGTGCTGGTGCTGGAGATGGATGATGGTAGCAGAGTTGTGGGGTAAAAGGCAGCACGCTGATTTGAAAACGAAGGATGGTCTGATATTTATTATTATTTTTTTTTTTTAAACAAACCGTATTATGTAGAGAGATGGGCTAAGTCTCACAAAGACTAACAATAATGTGGTTCAAACTAAACAAACACGTTTTATGTATTAGGGGCCGTTTGTTTGCCTTCGTTAGCTCTCGTTGGACTGGATTAGATTAAATATTAGTGCAACCTGTGTTTGTTAGCTTACGAGACTAACTTTGATGATACTAGGGAGGACTCACCTTGACTAACAACGTCTCTAGCTAGTCTTAGTGAGACTTCCTCCCCCAAAACCATAGGGCTAGCTAAGGCTATATCCAACCGACCCGGCCAAAGGGTTATAGAACTAAAAATAGCTCGAAATGACACGAAAACCGTTTCCAACCGAGGGTAGGCCAAAAGGCTCGTGAGCCCTACCAGGCCAAAACCACCAAATCAGGCCAACGGGTTGGCCCAAAGAAGCCAGCCAGCCAGCCCCGGGCCGGTTTAAATTTTGAACTCCAACAGTTACCTGGGGTCAGCATGACTCCAGCTAACAATGGCTAGCTGACGTTATGCTGATGTTAGGTTACTGTTGGATTTGAATTTTTTTTTTTTTTTTTGGGGACAAAATTTTTAAAATAAAAAATAAAAAATTGTAATTTTTTTCCCATAAATAGCTAAGTCATTCCTACACCATTTCTCACATAATTTTCACCATTCCATACTATCTTCATTTTATTTCAATTCTTCACATTCTATTCTCTTACATCTTCCAATAATATTTCCTTCAATTTTTTCAATAATTTTCAAATGGCCACATCTGTAATGAAAGGTAGGGCTTGGACCCGAAAAGAAGATGAAGCTCTTTGCAGAGCTTATAGATGGGTCTTGGAAGATAGTGTGAGGAGGAGTTCTCAAACAAGAGAAGGTGTTTGGACTCATACGTCCAAAAAGTACTATGAGTTCTACTAAGGCACGACTCCACCGAATTCCCATAACCACGAGAGTTCTTCTTTAAGATGGAAAAAACATCTTCATCCAAGTTTGAATAAATGGCATCAAGCAGTGTTAAAGGCCAGAAGCAAACATGAAAGTGGAGCCAATTACTACGACGAAGTAAGTGTTTTCATAAGTTATTTTAAATATTTAATTATATTACATTTAATTTTGATACGCCCCGATCCCGATGTCCGTGGGACATCGGAACGGTCACATGTTGGCCAACACCTGAGGGTGACGAAAGCCATTTATTGAAAATATGAGAACTAAAATATGAATAAGATAAAAGAAATTTAAATATAATTAATATGCAAATGAAGAACGTGTTCAGAGCATATAACTAACTAGAACACTAAAAGAAATAATATAAAGTTGAATGAATAAAAGAATGGGTCTTACACCGAGAGGACTCGAAGATGCTGATACGGAAGTGCCTTGACGCCGGGATCATACGCCTCGAATCTAAAACCTGAGGGGGCGCAAAACAAACGTGAGTGGACCAAGTTGATATACATATATAATAAAACAATTATCAACATACTAACCCCCAAAGCTTTATGAAAACTAATAGCATAATAAGTGTTAGGTTTTCCGAAAACCCTAGGATGCCATAAAATATCTCATAAAGCATATCTCGTATATAGTATGCTAAATAATTGTATCAGTATAATATCTCCCAGCCCAATGCTAGCACCATGTCTCTCTCCCGAAGCCATAGATTATTTTCTCCCAGCCCATTGCCAGCTCCATGTTCCTCGTCTCGAAGCCAAGGATTATTTCTCCCGGCCCACAACCAACACCAAATCCTTTCCCCAGGCGGAATAGTAACCACTAGATACGCACAAAACATTAAGCATAATCTTTCTAAACATAGGTACATATATCTCAAAATCATCTTCATAGTATAAAGTCATCCATCATCTATACTATAAAGAAGTGTGTAAAAACATGTTCTAAATAGTATATCATCATCCATCAGATATGTTGGAAATATGCCCTGAAAGTCAATCTTTGGAAGAAACTTTTCAGGACAATGTAATGATGTATATATGACTCTTATACATCGGAAGGCAAAGATACTAATTAGGACTATCTCAATGAACAAAATATGTCCTAAATGATGAATCCATGGACAATGGATTGATGGAAGAAGTAATATAATGATGATTAGACTACAGAGACCTTCTTTTCATAACCATTATGTCCAAAAAGGTTCCTGGTCATAGGATTGTCGGAGGGATACTGACAATGCATAGACCGGTACATACTATGTCTGCTTCAAATGGAAAGATGGAAAGTCTCATCCCATTCGTGTAGTGACACTAAGACAAGTATGTAGGTGCTTATTAAGGGAATGAGTTCACTGAACACAATCGAACGAGAGTACTTACATGGAGGTCTACTCACATGTCAAGCAAGTAACTCTGAAGGTTGGAATAATGTAAGTAATCCTTTGACCTAAGACATCATAGATGTCTAATGGTTAGGTCCTTGATCTTTGATCATGTCAAACGACATTCCATTGGAGTGTCCACGGCATTGTTGGGGTTAAGGTATCTAAACATGTAGGCATGTGAATGATCAACAAGGAATCTCTGATCCTCGTTATGAGAGGAAGAATACTCTGAGATATGATTCGGGAATCTTCGGCCGAAGTCTCGAGTGTAATAAAGGAAAACGTTCCTATGCGACTCAATTGAATCATATAAGAAAGCATAATCACATTAGGGGTTTGACATAGTATATCCATACCCTAGTGATGTGATTGAGAGTATTGTTTTAGAGAAGGATCGAATTACATTGTAATTCCAACTGAATAGGTTCTCCGAATAAACTTCTACATTAGCTTGGGTAGCCATGATATATGTTTAGATGTCACTCATGGCTTGTGAGTTCTTCTAGATGATTAAATGTAGTCATCAAAGAAGAAGGTGAATTAAAAGTAAGTTTTAATTCACTAAGTGGATGGATTAAATATAATCAATTGGATTGGTGCCAATCACCTCACTGCCTTGCTAATTAGAACCTAAAAGATTGTTCACCAATACACTCTTGTAGTGAGTAACTAATGGATGATGGAAATAATTAATTGGATTAATTAAGTGTTGTGATTAATTTAGAAAGTCTAAAGAAATCATAAAAGCAATAAAAGATCGTTTTGGGCTTAAAGAAATGTTCGGGTTTAATTGGGCCCATTGGGCCTAAACCCATTAGGCTTTTATTCAAGCATTGGATGACTTGAAATAATAAAAGCCCAAGGCCCAAACAACACTAAGAAGGCCGGCCAAAGAGAGGGAGAGAGAAGGTCAATTGTTGACTTGTTTCTTTATGTTATAAAAGGAACTTTATAATGAAAGTTTAAATGGGGGTTTTTCTTAGTGTTCAAAACAACAAAAGAGAAAAGAAAATAACTCTCTCTAACACTCAAAGGGCCGGCCACCATAAGGGGATTTTAGCTAATCATTTTATCACCCCTTTGGTTATTCCTTCATCCTTCTCACTACACTAGTGGGTGAGGATCTTTAGAGGTTTTCAATTTTGGAAACTTGAAGAGGACCTAGGAGCACTCATTCTCAACAAAGTGGAGGAGGCAAGGAGGGAGGCTAGGCTCAAGGAGTTCAAGGAGCAAAGAGCTTGGAGGTGGTCCATCCTTGGTCTAAGATCTAGATCAAGAGGTATAAAACTACTCTTAAACTTTGTTCTTCAATAAATTGTTTTTGATGCATCATAAATAAACCTATGAATCTTGAAGGGGATTTTCATGACTAGAGCTTTGATATTAATTGATGACATGCTTCCGTTGTTTTCGTATATAAAATTTGAATGGTATATGCATGCTAGTCAATAGAAATCCCACATAAATCTCATATTTTCCCTTCAAGTGGTTTCAAGAGCCAAAGGTTTATATTTGATGTGTCCTTTTGGATTTTATGCATATGGGTATTAATTTTATGTTTGACATATTAGTTCTTCATTCAAAGTATGTTTATCTTTTGTTTTTCAAATGTTGAAAAATTGTGAATCAATAGTTGAAAAAGATATGTATGCAAAAGGTGTTTTGGATGCATGAATGAAGAGTGAGTTTAGAACAAATTTTGGGGTTTTGAATCATAGGGAGGGTACGGCAAAAAGGGGATTTTTTGGCTATGTGTTTGTGTTTTGTTTTGAACCTCACACACACACTTTGAAGCTAGAAAAATGTGTTCTTGAAGTTCTTGGTTATGTTCTTGGTGTTCATGATTTTGTTTTTTTTTTTTTGGAAAATAGTTTTATTTAAGTTCATAAATTGTTTTATGGATTTGGATGATATTCTTATCATCAATATTTATTACAAAAGGTTTTTTCAATCCTAGACTTCTTTAGGATATTTTAAAACCTTTTCCCTAATTTCCTTAAAGCAAAATCAAGTGCAAGCATAATTTGAATTCTTTTTCTTCTTTATGTTGAAATAATGCAAGGTGGGTGAGACCTACCCACCTTCCCCTTCATTTGGCCGGCCAAACTCAATGGTTTTCCCACTTGAGGGTCCTTTTGTAATCATGAAAAGTTTGGTTTTACTTGTAGTATTTATGGTTTGACCCCTAACTTTTTCATATTTGCATTTAGACCCCTACTATTTAAAAATTGAAATGTTTGATTTTAATTTTGTTTAATGTTTAAACTCATCATTTAATTATGCCCATATGCACTAAATCTAATTGATTATGTTGCATTCCATTTAATCATTTAATGTGATTAAGTAATTAGAAAATGGGTGACTATGGACTTATGCCTTAAACGATAATTGAGCTATGAGAATAAGGCGCTAAACTCAAATTGTTTGAACCTTGGGAATGTGTTTTAATTTCTATTTCAATTGGACCTTATCATGTTTGACATTAATCTATCTCTCCCTCTTAGTATGTGTAATTTGTAGGAATTTGTACAAATCGGTTTGTAATTCTTATTACTTCTTAATCTCTTTTAGTTAGTTGATTCCCTCTAGTACTAGACTAGAGTTTCTTTAACTATTGGTAAGGAGACATATTTAAAAGAGGGTTTTGACATGAGATAAAAAGATTAAATGGGTCCAACGCCCTAATTAGCAATGAATCATTGTCTTTCATTTCTACTGGCTCAATCAAAAATGTTTTAATTGAATTGAAAGCACGTAATTAAATTGACACAACCTCCCCGAGATCTTATTCAACAATGTTGGCTCGTTGTTGAATTAACCAATAAGTCCATGGTCATCCAAGAGCCTAAGATGACTATAAAGTCTAATTTCAAGGGAATGCAAAAACCGTAGTAGTAGTAGTTACTTCCAATATTTGAAA